AAGTTTTAATTAACAATTCTTAATAACTCTAATATATGTTAAAATATTATTAACAATATAGAATTTATAATTTAAATTTGACTGTCATATACTACATTTTTCTGTATTAGAATTTAATTTCTGACTGTAGAGAGAGCACAGAAATTTTTAATAAATCTTAACTCAAATATCATAAGTTGTTACAAATACAGAATGTCTATTTTTCATAAAAATAGAATTTTTGTATAAAAATGTTTCTTTTTTATAAAATACAACTTTTTCATGCATAACCTATCAATTTATATTTTATCAGATGATTTTAACTGATTAAAAACGATTTTTTAAAAAAATTTGAATTTACTTATCTTGACAATTTTTCTAACGTTAGGGAGTAACTGGGGTGTCCAGACACCCCAGACGTATTTTAACAGGAGATAGAGCTCTTCCTAGAGCAAAACTTTTGGCGGCACATACAGGTGTCAAAAGATAGAGGTTTAAACTAAATTATCAACGGGTTTTGAACGTAAACAAATTATTGGTTAAGCCATGGGAATACTTTGAATTTTGCTTGGGGTGTCCAGACACCCCAGTTACTCCTTCTAGGGTTAAAAAAAAAAATTTTATTTTTTTGTCCGGATAATCGAATATCCGGATAATAGGGGTCCGGATAATGGAGTCTCTACTGTATTTACGTTCGACAATAGCAGTTTCACTAATAGTTTCTTTTAATTTTGGTGGTGACTTTAAAATCACACCGTCTTCCCTTAGCTGAGCTTTAACAAAGAAGTAATGACCCACAAGTTTTCCAGCTGCTTGGATTTTTTCACCATTTTCTACTTTAAAAGGGGTGTAATAAGTTTCTGAAAGCTCGCATGAGAATAACTTGGCAATAGTATCAGCAAAATTTTGAAATTCTTCCTTTGTTATTCTGTAAATAAATTAAGTAAACAATTATAAATGTCGAGTTCTCTGTAACAATATTTTACAATTTAATATTTTCAAAACTATTTTTAAAAACTTACATCCAATCTTTTAAAGGAAATCCTTTAATTTATAATTTTAGTAACTCTGCCTTTTTCTTTTCTATAAAACTGTGTACTAACAATTTTCTTGTGTTGTCAGTTATGAAATTATTGTGGTGTTCGTAGGAAGCCAACACTATTTTGGTATTGCTCTCGCCCAGAAGTCGTTTCAAGGACTAAATTAAAAAACAAGAAACATTTATAAATCGATATAGAAGCAATATTTGGAAAATATCAAACAATAGTGTGACAAACATTAAAAGTAGGATCTGTGTCCCAATTGTTGATAATTAATATCTGCGAATGACTCGATTCCGTAAGTTGCTCGGACCAATTTTGATCAACTTTCAAACCCTCTACATTTAGCGGGCCAATGTTAACACTATCAACAGTTAACTGCAAGTAAATGAAAATACTTTGTTAGTTCAACGAATGAATGAAATTAATTAAAATATACATTTAAAATTAAAAAGTAATTGAAACAGTGGCATTTTCTAGACACAACTTAACACTTAACTTCTTTTTATGGTTTGATTTATACTCTCTATGTTCAATTATCTTACCTCTTCGACATTTTCCAATACACGTCTGCAAAAAATAAAATTGTATGTACCTACAATATTGAGTGAGAAAATATATACAGAAAAAAGGTTTGATTCGTAAACTAGTTTAATTATTTCTACAAAATGCTTCATATATATATATATATATATATATATATATATATATATATAAAATTGGACAAGTGCGAGTTGTACTCGCACTGCAATGGCGGGTTCCGTACACAAATATTAAAACAATACTTGCAACATTTATCGGTAATTGGTAGAATTAAAATAAACAATTGAAAAAATATATTAAAATCATTTAATAAAAAAGAATACCTAAAGAAAATTAAAGTATTGTATATCTAATATTATAAACAATAATAAGCAGAGGAACTATAATTTTGAAAATTTTGTTCCTCTGCTTATTATTGTTTACAATATTAGATATATACAATACTTTAATTTTTTTTAGTTATTCTTTTTTATTAAATGATTTTAATATATTTTTTTAATTGTTTATTTTAATTCTACCAATTACCGATAAATGATGCAAGTATTGTTTTAATATTTGTGTACGGAACCCGACATTGCAGTGCGAGTACAACTCGCACTTGTCCAATTTTTTTTTTTATTTTTAGTTAATAAATTAAAGTCGGAAAACAATCTCTCATTTATTCTCTTAAAATTTCACTCTTCCTTAAAATATTTAATGTCACGTGTTTAAAATAAAAAAAAATTAAAATAATTTTTTTGATTTTTTTTCAAAAAGTTTCTTAAATAAATTTTTTGTCGTAAGACTGTAATAATACACTAGGATACCAATTTTCAGCTCATTAGGTCAAATAATGTAAAAGTTAAGAAAAAAAAAATTTTTTTTTTAATTTTTTCGTTTCCCCTTGACAACGCTATGGACATTAATACATAGCAAGTTCTCTTTATTTTTCCTGTAATATTCACGATAAAATACACCAGTATGCCAAATTTTAGCCCTCCATGTTGAATAGTTTAGAAGTTAAGGGGGGGGGGGGGGAAATGTTCACTTTTTATGCATTTTTAGCTAAAAATCTTGTTATTTCCTTGACAACGCTATGCCCAGCACGTCCAATCACATTCGCTATATTTTTTCTGTAATCTACGAGTGAAAATACATATCTGGACCAAATTTGAGCTCTTTAGGTCAAATAGTTTAGCCGCTAGGGGGGGACACGATTTGGCTACGGACACAAGAGTCTCACCAATAGGGTTCCGCCGTTACACCGTAGGTGTACGGAACCCTAAAAATGTCAAATTTCTCACTCTATGGGTATTTCACTTTATATTTATATTATAAAAAAACGTAAGATTAAAATTAAAAATTAATTTTATTGTCACAGTGTAAAGTATTATGTACAAATTCTGTACAATTTGAAATTTTCATTTACGTTGTGAAGCAAGTTATGGAAAATCTAAACTAGTTTCTGTATTGAAAACATTTTTCTTCGTGTGTGTGTTTCAAATGTATATAAACTATTTTTCATTGCCCTACTGTGTTATTTCTCTCAATTTCATAAAATATTCTAAGCAGAATCTACAATATAAAAAAATTATGAAAATAAATAGATATATTCTACAAATAACTTAGGAAATATAATTTTATATAGGAAGTTATTCAACAAGTTGTTACTTAACCTATAATTTTTCAGATATACACACTTTTTGCTTTAAAAACATAATTTGCCATAACCACATTATATATAAATATAAAAAGTAAACTTACACATTACCCTCCTCTTGTGAAAACATTTTTATTTTGAGTCAAAGAAGTTTTATTCGACAAATTTATCACATCATACACTGAAACGGGAAACCACGAGGCACTGAATGAAACACAACAAACAGAATGAAGTCACTATATTCAACATAACCGCACTTTTACGTACGCGCAGTCGCCCGTGCGCATATTCTCTACGAATTCAAGAAAATTTTCAGACACAGTCAACTAGTCTTTCACGTACTCTCAAGTATCTGTTCACGTATAAATCTTAAATATATTAAATTTTTAATTTTCTAAAAATTAAAGGACTTTTTTAGAAAATATAAATGACTTTTTTAAATTCATTTATGAACTGTGCATTAAAGATTAAAGAATATTGTTTCTATTACAGTACTTGAAACATTCTAGGACTTTTTTTAAAGTTTCAAGTAAATACTATGTTTCTTAACTAAAGGGACCATATGAAAATAGTGTCAATGCGGGACACCCGCTTATTTATATGATTTAGTAAACAAAAAAAAAGGTCATTTGTGACAAGAAAAAAGAATCAGGGAATTTGTAGGCGTCAATTTGAGCGGAATTAAAACAAAGGCTCGTCTTATGACATTTACATATTTATATTATGCTTATTTTGTAACATTGAATCACATATGTTCTGACGATTGAATTTTTCTTAAAATATCACGAAGTCTATCTCTCTCACACTTATATACGCTACTGTGCTAACCTGTAGATGCAGGATATTCTTAACTATTTTCCGGAATATGCAGGACATTTTATGTCAAATGCGGGACGTTTTGCGGGACGAAGGGGAAAAATCCGGGACAGTCCCGCACAATCCGGGACGTATGGTCACTTTATTCTTAACGAAAAACGCATGAACTAATATCGGAATTTTGCTTATATCCAAAAGTCAAGCACTTTCAAGGAATGATTCACGTACTTTTTTCCGTGTAGAGATCATCTCCGTGGTTTGGCCTTAGGTTAAAGAGGGTCAACCTTTATTTAACTTGGGTAGAGAGCGAAAAGTGAACTAGGATAGAGGAGAAGTTTATTCGACGCAAATGCAACATAATTCCCTTCTAGTGCATTGTATTCACAGACGAGCGCCTCTACTAAATACAAGGCAATGGGGGTTGAGATCGCTTCCTGCTAGCCCGAGGAGCGCCTCGAGGCATGTCTGTAGTTTCTTAAAGTCTAGTTGCGTTTAGGATCTTTTACAATTCTTTTTAAAACTATGATATCAATTTTATCTTAATACCATTCCCTTCATACCGGACTGAATCACATCATTGACCTCAAAACAAAAACTCAGAAAGTAAAAGGTACATAATTATGTTATTTCCTGAAACATCAAATTTTATTTGCACTGAAACCCCGATTCTACAACCAGTTTGGGCTTAACGTTGTGATTCAACAAAATGTACAAGTTCATTTCACGTTAAATTAAAACGTCCGGTACTTTAGAAATGACCATTATATTTAATAAATTTAATTATAAAATGATGACCGTGAAAAGGAGATAATTTAACCAGAAGAAAAAGAAATCATGCAAATAAGGATGTATCCGCTGATTTTTCGATAATATCGATCGTGACTAATGAAAATTTGAGTTAACTTTTTGAGCATCATTGATAATTGGATAGACTGTACGTAGTTATTGATAGTTCATTACCAAAAATTTGTGATTAAACTGACCTGCAACATAGAAATAGGTTCTTGATATTCAGGACCCGAATATGGTGGATACAACTGTTTAAAAGCCATCATAGCTTCGTTGCAAAATTTTAGTCCCATTACTTCCTCATCTTCTCTTCCATACCGAAACGTTAGTTTCACCTGTCCATAAATCTGAAACATTAATAAATAAGGTAAAAGATCCAGTAGTCGATCGCTATTTTGAGAACTATTCATAAACAAGTTAATAACTTGCAAATAAATCGCTACTTCTCAACATTTCTTTTTTAGTTCTGTAGATGACGTTCCTACCTTGAGATTCGTAATTTACAAATCAATTTAAATTGAAATATTTATTTTTTAAGAAAATGTTTAAAAGACAATTGCTTAGTTGATCAGCCATTAAAATAACATTAGTACCAATACTCAGTCACTCGACATCTAGTAATCAATCAGTGTTTATACAAATGGATTTAATAATTATTAAGAATTTGATTAAATTGGCATAAAGAAAGCTTATAACATTTGAAAATATATTTGGAATATTGTCACGTCTTACACCTGGGCAACAGATACAAATAGGGTCATCAACGTTTTTTCACCCTCCTATAGAGTCACTCATCTACCTAATACAGGGACCAGTCCAGCAACCGCCACCAAGTTAACTAGTTGTGTATTGTCATCAAGTGTCTTCTACGACTCCAGTCCAGAAAACCTCTTCAAGTACCAAGTTCCTTCTTCGAAGTCTCGTCTTAGTTAAGTTCATTCAAAGAGATAATTTCTACTTCAAGGCACGTTTCTATTTTGCTGAGGACTGTATTAACAACGGCATTAACAACAAATAAATAATTCGGTTATTCCAAGTATGAGGGGTGTTCAATCTAATCTGCATCGACACCTGGACTCCGGACCTTTCGCTTTTAGCTGTCCCGAAAGCAATTTGAGGGAAATCTACTGCATTCTCTGTTTCCGCTAATCAAGGTCATATTCCTCCTCCACCTCACACTGAAGGAGGTATCGCTTGTTGGATTTACGACTCTATGAATAATTTTAAAAGGCAAATAACTAATACTATTAAATTTCGTCCCCATTTAAATTCTTGATTGATTCCACATAGTTCTAATTTTGTTTCAGTGTGCCTGAATACATCTGGATCTACTCTTTCTATCTCATTCTAATTGTAAAGGATTCAAATAAAAACTTTTATAATTTAATTTCAATTTTAACAGTTCCTCTTTCTTAAACCTGTCCCTTCAGATCAGAGCCTTTCTCTCTGTGAATAAATCAGATTTGAATTACCGATGCCGGACAATTTGAATGTATATAATTTATGGTATTAGTCTGCTTCTGAGACATGATAATATTATGCTTTTTCTTTATATCAATTTAATCAAATGAAACATTTCTTTCTTTATGAAAAATTGTATAATAACAGGATAGAAAAGTTAATATCTGTTGGCCACATTTTTTTACATATATGACACATGTATGCTTTTCATGAAGTATGTTAGTTCGTATTGAAAGAAAAGGTGAAGAATTGAAAAGTAGACAAGGTTCATAGGGAACATGATGGATGCAAAAAAAGAATCTGTTTCAACTTTGAATAGGAATTAATCAAATAAATTTAAGAAGAAAATGCTCAAATTCTTGACATCGCTTCTAAAGTTTATGGAATTTTTGTTCTGTTGAGTATTTACATAGGATAGTGAATTTAGTTTTATTTGTTTATTGATATTTGTGTTCATAAGTTCTAATTTTTAGGGATCCACAATGTTTGTCCGATGTAACAAGAATTACAATTTTTACAATTAATTTATAATTAAATTAGTTTTTTGAAATTTAAGAATTAGTTTTTGGAAGTTTTATTAAGCTTAAAAATTGTATTCACGGATTTAAAAACAACTATCATATTACAATTTTTCATCATTTGGTCTATATTTTTAATTTCGTAACTCTCAATTTTCTTATTTATATATGTATACTTATTTAAAAAGATGGTTGGATATCCATGTTCCTGTAAAGTATTGAAAATCAGGTCTTCTTTTGATACTAATTTCAATATATTTTCATAATTTAAAGACCTTTAATTTTTTTATTTTCCGTTATACTTCCACTGTAAATTTTAAAAAATTATCTTTAGAATTTAATCTATCAAGTAAATCAAATTTATATTTAGGTAAACAGCAAATAGTATCGAAACGCATCAAAATTTTGTTGATGTTAATACTAAATGTTGCATCTACAGAATAACTTGAAATTAAGAGATACTTATACTCTATAAAATTTTAAGTCTTTAAATTTCTTTACTAAAATAAACAAAATTTAGAATAAAATTTTAAACGTAAACAACTTCTCAGAAACAACTGATTGATAAATGGTTGTAAGAATAAATTGAAAAAATGTTACGTTTATAGCTTTTAACTGATTGAAAAGAATTAAAAATTTTTTTACTTGTTTGCCTTTCAAGGAGTCACGGTCAAAGACAAGAACTCCTCGCAGCGTGTCTATTATTCCTCCACTGATGAAAAGATCTCGACTTTCCAAGCAAAGTATCAATTTGTTGTTATGAGACTGCTTCTTATATGCCCTGAAACAGAATTAAATTTAAAACTTGATATTTTATCGAAATACAATATTTTTTATAGGAAAATAATTTCTTTTATACTCTAAGTAGTAATTATTTGATATTAAGGGAGATAAAATTGTAATTAAAATCCAATTAATTATTATTATTTGTCTTAGAGTTTATTTCAGTTAACTGTATGTAATATAAAATTTTAATTAAAAATGATTGTGTGGTTTTTGATATTTGTAAAAGTAAACTTTTATTTTTAACGACTCTCGCGTGGGCTTTACTACAGAGATTTATATATAATAATGTTGAAATGTCATAGACAATGAAAAAAAAAATTTTTTTATTTCTGTGAACGAGGAGAGATTCACGATTTCATTTGTGTAAATTCCAATCAGAGAGATCAGTGATGTGTAGACAGTTTTGCGAGAGTTGAAAAACATGAGAGCCTCTCAGTTGTAATCGTTGAGAGTTATTATCAAAGCTTGGATCATGATAATTGAATGCTGTCCTGTTCTACTACTGAATGAAATAAAATTTTGATATTTAATGTCACTTATCATTGTTTTAATATTTTTAATGCTTGAAATCTTTCCAATTATCTTGTAAATGTCAAAATTTTGTCATTTTATTTCATTTTAATTTCCGTTTATTATTTTCATCGATTTTACATTTCAATTTTTTTTGTTAGATAACATTAAATTTAAAAAAAAGTTTAGTTTTTTATCATAATTATTGTATATATTGTAATGAATGTAACAGACAAAAGCGAGTAATATAAAGTTTCAAAAACTTAACTATTAATAATAGTTGTAACGACAGAAACAGTATTATGGAATAAGAAAACGAAAAGACGTTATAATAATAAGAAACGTATTTACAAAGTATGAATTCGGTGACGTAGAACGATTGACTGACAGGTAAAATCGATTTGACGTAAGTGACGAAAGTATGAATAAATTGTGGGAAAAGAACCCATTCTCTCTTGCAGCTTCGAATATTCAAACGTATAAAAAAGCAATCTGAAAAGGAACTGACTTCGAGGGATTTACCAACTTTTATATTCTTCTTGTATAGATCCGCAGTCGAACTAAAAGTTTTTTCACTGCAACGCTGTTGTAGCGTGTAGGATGCATATGGAATGGGATAGAAAATGATACAAATATATATATTCGACTTTTTTTTAACCCTTTTGATTCGCATGCTACACACTGCAGTGACGTGTTTTGTGCAAGCGCTCTTGAGAATAAAATTGTTTGGAAAGAAGTGAAACTCCTTAGCTCAGAAAACCTCAGAGGGTTCGGTGAACCACACAAGTTGCCGAATGGCGGTGAGACTGCTCTTTGTATGCCCGCATAGTGGAACTAGCCTTTCACTATTGGTTGCCAGATAAGAACGACGTTCAAAGAAAGAAACGAAAACTTCTGCTCAAAATCAACTACAAAGTCAAATTCATGTTTTAAATTCAGAAATAATACTTTATGCACTATGCAATAATTTTAATAACAATAACAAATTGTAACAAATAATAACAATTATAAACAATTAACAAATACCCCGTCCCAATTTTAATTGTTACTAATTAAAATTAAATCGGGAAAACATTAGGGACATAAGTGTAGGTTAGACGTAACAATAACATAGAGAATAATGCGAAAGCAGAGAGGGTTGACAAAAAATTTATTCATAAGAAGAATATGGAAGTACCCACTGAAGTCAGTGCAAATTATCGAGGACTACCTAAAATCTGTTTGTAAAGATAATATTTATAATTTTTAGAAAGGATGATTTTAGTGAAAGAGTATATAATAGATTATTTGTAGCCAACTGAATAGTTTCTTTTCTTTCGTGCAACGTCTTGGGAGTTGTGACTTTCGCCAAATCTGATTTAAAATAAAGTCGTGCATGATTAATAGAGAACGATTGTCACATGCTCAGTGATAAGTTCCTAGTCTCTACTGTGCAGTCCCATGGGGAAAAGAAGAATCGTACCAATTTTCCTAAGGAGACGAACAGAAGAGAAAAGACGTTGAGGAAGCAAACCAAGTATATCGTGGCTAATCAGATTATTTGACATGGAGGATTTGATTTGGAGGATTGATAAATTTCTTGACATTTAATATTTAACATTTGTTTGTAGATTTCTAAAAAATTGTGGCACGATTTGACGAGTGTTATTTATTATATTAAAAAATTCTTGTTAATTAATTTGTAGAGTTTGGCTTTTGGTTAATAAAGAGTTGTTTCAATTGAGATTGTGTTGTGCTTTATAAGTTTTTTGAGAATTATATGAATGACTGGATGTGGGTACCACAGAGTAGCGTAAATTTGGCAGCACCTCAAAGGTCGAGTTCAAACAAGTTTGTTGGTACAGTGTTGGTTAGAACTCTGTTTTGCATCGCAACGTCGTTCTTGGCAGAATTCTCCAATGGGATGTGTGGAGATTGGGGTATTTAGCAGTTACCAGAAATAGAGAAATTCAATAACCGATTTCGATGCACATGATTTAATTCAATAACTCACTATGTTAAAGTTTACCACTAAAATTTATTTATCTTTACGTTACAAACTATAGAAAATTTTTAAAAAGTGCAAAGGACTTTTCGTCTTAATTTTTTCAGTAGAATATGACCCTTGAATATGTACACCCTCGACTGGGACATAATAAATAAAAATAATCTACATAAAAAGTTTGTTCTTTTGCAACAAAGCTGTAGTCAGTCGTCCTTTAGATATACTATAGAATTGTAAAAGGATAGTAGAAAGAATGAATAAGGGATATCAACAATTTTATGAGCTACTAGTATCGTTAATGTTATTATCTGAATCAATATTAATGTCAATTAACAAAGGTGGGTGAGTTATCAATCGGCAGAATACAATCATTTTAGAGGCCCACAGAGAAAGTATCGCAGTCACCAAAAACCAAATCTAAAAGTGATTCATGACAATTGTAAATATTATTTAATTGAGATAAGCATAAAAAATTGATTGTATGAATAAACTCTGCAACAATTCGGACTCGATTATTTAGTAGTTCATTTGGTAATAATTTATTGATTGATTAAAACTTTAGCAGAAGAGGAGGGTGTTCTTGAAAATGACGTCACGATGGGGGCTCGAATCTGTGATTTAATGAGGGTTAGTTGGAAAAAAGTTCAAAAAAGCGTGACGTTTATGAACGTCCCCTAAAATAAAATGTTTCGCAATAAAATTATGATTCTGTTATTGATTTTTACAAAGATTCGTAAAACTACTTAGTTATAAAAATAAATTGCAGACAGTTAAAAGAAGATTCGTGAAAAAAACTGCTTACTCGTCAATTTTTTGATAGACATGTTTATACTAGAGGGAGGACATTGTTTATTAAGATAATTTTAGGAACGTGTCTCATGGTCATTATTTAATATCCGAGAGAACACTTTTAATTCAAGGTCATCTTTTGTCCATTAAAGACATATATACACATACACACACACAGACCAAACCCTTTTTGGGTTTATAGATTCAATTTATATAAATGGGTGCGTCTGAAGTATTTAACACGCAATCTGTTATTTTAACATTCTCTTTTAATTCTATCTCTTTTATTGTTTACCATTAAATTTTGCTTATGAACACAAAGTAATTAAATTTTCCTGTTTCATCATGTAATTTTAAATAATTTTGACCCAACTCTGTCCCTTTTAATATATTATAAACCACATTTTATCCATAAATAATAAACTTATAATAATATAACAAAAAAGCTGTTTCTGTTTATTATAAAATTTATGCTTCCACCCCGACAAAAAGACAATTCATCAATATTCACCTCATAATGGTAATTAATTACTTATTTATTAAACGTCTGCTCTCATAATTATTGAAATATATACTGAATTTAATGCTGAAATTGATTATGAATATTAATGAAGGATGTGCTAATTGTTATGTATTTTTAGTGATGCTTTAAGTTAAGCAATAATAATAGTAAAAATGACATTTTTAATATTGGTTAATAGTTACACAAATTTTGAACTAAAAATCAAAGTTTGACAGATGAATTTATTGAATTTTAATAAAGTCAAAAAATTAAGAGAAACATAATAGGTTTACTTTTTTATTGTAATTCAAGCAACTTCTAGATTATGTTTTCTTTTTTTATTCTTACAATACACTGATGACAATATAATACACACTTGATAATTTATATCAACAACTCTGAAATGAGACTAACTGAAATATAGTTAAATTTCTTAGTGACACTGCTATGACACGATCAAGCAAAAGATGAACAAACAATTTGCAGTTTTATAATGTTGTAAAGAAAAACAATGAATGAAAATAATTTTCGCAAGATATATTAATTTTACATGGAATAAAATTTCATGCAGAAGAAAAAATAAAATTCTTTGAGTAATGTGTGAAATTGAGAATGATATCAAATCAGAATTAATTTTGTCATAGGAAGCCGATCCTCTAGAGTTTATAAATTCAAATCAAGTTGAGGAGAGGGAATCGACTTCAGAACTTGATTCACTGTTCCAATGTGAAGGGAAGAGACGTAGAATAGGGGAAAATTTCAAGGAATATTGAACATTGAATGTAAGTGGAAAAATCAGTTTGTTCAAACATTGTCGTCAAACAATGTTCTTAGTCATATGAATGACCATAATGACAATTTGAAATTGCAGATGAAAACCAAATTTATATATGCGGATGGCAAAATTTTTCTTAAAAAAGTACCCGTAAAAAACAGAAATGTCTGTTACGTTTTCAATTTTAAAATTAATGGACATATAAAGGGTACTTTGAACTTTATTTTGTCATATTTTATTTATAAAAATAGTTTTTTTTAAAACTTCTATATTTCTATTTTTATGGTCTTTGATACGAACACCAACCATTCTATTTGATTGCTCAACATAAGATGCAGGACACTTTTTGCAATCGAGCTTGTAAACTGTATTAGTACTTTCTGGTTTTATGTTTTTGTCTTTACCTTTTATAACTAAATTGTGGTTCATATTATA